TCTCTCTCTCTCTCTCTCTCAGTCTCCAGAAAAACAAAACAAAAAATCAATCAATCAATCAATTGATTGATTGGTTGATTGCTTGATTCTTTGATTGATTGCTTGCTTGCTTGCTTGATTGATTGATTGATTGATTGATCTGTGTGCGTGTGCTCTCTCTCTCTCTCTCTCTCTCTCTCTCTCTCTCTGCTCAAAAAATCAATCAATCAATCAATCAATCAACCAATCAACCAATCAATCAATCAATAAACCAATCTCTCACACACACACACACACACACATACACACACACACACACACACATTTTCGTTGACTGAATGATTCGTTGAATGATTATATAAATATATATATATATATATATATATATACACACACATTCTGATTGCCTACTCCTGACTTCATGCTTGTCTGACTCTCGGCGTTGTGCAGACCCTAACATTCACAATGTCAGCGACAGGCGGAGATGCTGTCCCCGCTCGATCGTCGCCCATTGCGGCATCTTCGCAGGGGACACCCTATGCTCGTCAAAGCGTCGATCGATCTCCATGTGCAGCGCAGGGGTTGTTGGGCGTTTCACCGCACAGCGGTCCGGAGGTCCGGTTAGGGAAAAGGCGTCGTGGTAGCGTTTCGAATGCGACTGGCGGCGGCGTTGGCCCAGGCGTGACACTCATTTCGCCTTTCGCTGGTGTGTTGGGGGCTTCTCCACCGGGTGTGCCCGCGGTTCGTAACGCAGCCGCGTATGGAGGTGTGTTTGGTGGTCCGTTGCTGCCATCCCCACTACTGCCTAGACGGATGGACTATGCGGCCACGATACCTTCAGCACCTGTATGGTCACATGCGGTGGCCCCGCCATGTCCCGATGAAGGTGCTTCTCGTTCAAGAGATCGCAGCGACACTTGGCGTTGTCCAACCAATTCACGTCCACGAGTCGTCGGCACGGCGGCCGGTTCGTTTACGGTGCCGCCTCAGTCTCTCTTTGTCGCTCCAGATTCTACACCTCCGGTTGACGATGTCGATAGCTCTGCGGCAGTCAGTGGCATGCCGCGTTCGGGCGGCAACAACATCGTGCGTGTGTGTGTGCGGGTCGTGTGTCGGAGGCGGTTGTACGCTCTCCGCGATGCTATGGCCGGTGTGGGTGACCATCGCGGACCGGTCAGCGACATTATTGATCGACTGCTCCATTGGTCCTTGCCAGCCATCCGTGCGGAATTTGGTGTCGGGGTAGCAGGTGTGATTTCTTCGTCGTTGCCATCTCGGGTATGCGGTCGAGATTTCACGTTGCGTTATATGTCAAACGATTCCGGTGCTGACTACGGTCAGGGGGGTTCGCAGGGTTCAGCGAGCGGAGGGTTTGGGGAGTCGCAGGAGGGATCGCAGAACTCGTTCCCGTCGTTGCGTCGTGCATCGCAGCGCAGTGACAGAGGGCGCGGTAGACCCCGCAGCGCGGGTTGGTTTACACCGACACCTACCCGGCCGCAGACGTGGTGAGACAGTTGGGAAGGTGTTGACCAGTGCGGTCCTAGGCCTGAAACTGACCGTGCCATTGTTGAGGAGGCGATGGCATTGTGGAGTGGACCGACAGCGCCGGATGTTGTGTTTCTGGAGCCGGTCAAGCTCCTTCAATTGCTGGCCATGTTTCATCTATATTGCCCATTGCACAAGGGTTCGTGCCGTGTGTCTGTGGAGTCCGTCTCCTATCCAGCGCAAATCTGTAAGCTGACGTTCGTATGCGACAAGAAATGTAAATGGGCATGGCACACGACACTCGTGACCACGAACGTCTATCACTCGCGACTGCAGCAGCAGCTCTTTCATGCGACAGTCACCATCGGCCTGACGTTCACGCTCCTCGACAACTTTTGTGTTGGTTTAGAGATGTGTTCGGTGCACAAACCCACGTTCTACAAGTTTATGCGCACAGAACCGGGGGAGGCGGAGGGGTGGAATGCCAAGGTCGTACAACAGGACATTAAATATTGTGAGCTTGCCATTGACACTGTGATGCGCCGTGGTGAGGCAATGACGTTGATGGTCAATGGTCGATATGACTCTGCCAGAGGCGCGCAGCATTGCACCGTCACCGCAATGGAGTACGAGACTCGGCTTGTTGTGGGTGTGCACACTCTCCGTCCGAAGATCGAAGGCAAGGCGTCGAATGCGCTTGAGGTGCCATCCGCCGTGCAACATTTGCGAGGGCTGATGGAGAAGGGGTTGAAGATCCGGTGCGTTGTCTCGGATGATTGTGTCGCGCTAGGACCGCAGTCGCGAGCTCTGAACATCGAGTAGCGAAAGGATTGTCACCACAAAATAAAAAACATTCGCAAACACTTCCACAGTATGCTGCAACTGAAGAAAGCGAAGAAAGTGAGTAACCCGCACGAGTGTGTGTCAGAGGCGCAGTTTATGTAGTTCACGAAGAAGCGGCTGATGGAGGCGTTGGAGCAGCGTTTTAGATCTGGCGTCCTCACACCTGCTGAGGAGCGGATGAAGAAATCGGATTTCGTCGCTGTCGTCATGTGGAAGATGTACCCCTACGGATCGAGGTCGAACGCTCGAGCGTTGGAGACTGATCCTGACGGCTTGACAGAGTATTATGCGCATGAGATTGGGATGTGATTCCTCCGCGCTTGTCAGCTGTGCAGGGAGGAGGGTGGAGACGCCAACAGTTTACACCGCGACATTATGTTGGTCGCCGCTCATTGGGCTGGTGATCATTCGGGATGTGTCGGTGGTAGGTAGGTTCTGTGCGAGAAGGTCGGTGGGCCTGCACAATTGCCTTTGTATAGCCGCGCGGACACGGTCTACGAGCTCGTTCTGCATGTTCTCGGGAAACAATGCAGCACTAACATCACGCCGTACTACATCGAGTTTCGGCACACATCGACGGTGGAGGCTTTTCAGGGCACCATCATCATGTATGCGAAGAAGTCGGTGCATTTCGAGAAGTTTTACTGTGCAAGTCTGTCGATCACAGTGATTCGATGGAACAGTCACTGCTGGCGCGACCCAGTCAGGTACGTTGCTCGCATAGCTGCGGGCACTTCCATACGTCCACGACCAGGCTTTCGTCGACACTACGGTCAGGAGGCGATTGACTCTTGGGAGGACAGGTTGTCGGCGTCCGTGTTCGGTTCGGCTCGTGTTTCGGACTGGGCTCGAGAGCTTCTGCGACAGGAGGTTTGTCCTTATGGAGCCGGGTCATTGCGGCGCGATCTGTTTGTCAAGGGTGGGGGCGACCCAGTGGAAGTCGTTGATGATGATGCCTCCGGTTCCGACCATGAAGCAGTGGGGGAGAACCGTGTTTTCATCATCCGTCACGTGGAAGACAATGTGGTGCCTGCATGAGATGATTGGGTCCTGACATCGAGCTCGGAATCTGAGGGTGACGATATAGAGTTGTTTAGCGTTTGACTGGTTGAATGACTTTATCGTTGACCTGACATTGATTTGCTGATCTGAAAATCATTGCGCACGGCGTTGTTCTCACACATCTCATGGTGTCTTGTTTGTTACGCTATATTATTTCCTACTTTTTTTATGTTATATATATATATATATATATATATATAAGAGGACATGATTTTGTGTGATTCTAGTTTGTCTTTCTCTTTGTCTGTCCTTCTTTTCATTGCTGTTTTTTTCCCCCATCTTATTTCTTGTAATTCACATGCTTACGATCTTAGGCAATTGTTGTTTGACATTATATAGCCGAACCAATTCTGAGTTACACGTTGAACCAATAATAAAATTACATCCAGTTGCAAGAATAAATGAATCAACTCAAGTGGCGAGAGCGAGGATTATAATCGCTCAGAGTCCATAGCCAATAGTACAATGACATACAATTGCAAAAACAAAAAAATGAACTTTAAATGAGAGATCGAGGATTATAAAAAGAAGAAGATGATGTACACCAAGGAAACTAAATTTGACATAATGCAATCCCTGTAAGTCACGACAATAAGTAAGTACCGGCCCTGATGGTTTGTCGAACAAGCACGAGCCGTTACGGGGCACACAAAAAGCAAACCCCACGTTTACGGTTACGATCACACACACACTCAAGGCAAACACACAGTCGGACTGACATACGTAGTCACACTCAAGGCAAGCATACTCGCAACCATACTCTCTCTCTCTCTCTCTCTCTCTCTCTCTCTCTCTCTCTCTCTCTCTCTCTCTCTCTCTCTCTCTCATGTCGTGAAGCATTTACCACCGCGCACGTCGACATGGGCGCGCGTTTTCTGGAGGATCACATTGTCGTAGTTCAAAACCTTGAATGATTGTATCTGACCATCGTTCCCGCATCGCCGTTTGGAACTCATCTGGCAATATCTATCAAAAAACGACGAACCCGCACAACCGAGAAAAAACAACATACCCATTGTAACGATTCTGCTTTGGTTCGAGATTTGCACGACCAATAAGCAGATTCATGCACTGTTGCAGATGCTCCTCTAGCCCAGCAAAAGTCACATCCTCTTCCAAAAGCGTTGCGGGTCCTGGCCACCGACTCCTAATCCCGGCGACTGTCAGCTTCTCGTTGCGGAAAGGATCAATATCTGTCTCATTTCCAAATACGACTGCGTCGGCCCGCACGCCAGCCCTGCGTCGTCGGCGGTCCATGTCTGCGAAAGGGTGAATATTGTTCTGTTGCTTAGGTGTTAATTTTTTGAAATCTACAAAACAGAACATTACGAGCACCGATTACCTTAGTACTATGCCTCCACATAACGAAAACAAAAACATATTTTAAAACGCAAAGCAGGTGAAGAAAAAAAATTGAAAACATATAATAAACACATGGGAGATGACGAATGCATATGTATACAAAAAATGTATCATCATTGAAACTATCAGTTTATCTCTCTCCAACAAGGAAGAAACAAAGCAAAAAAAATGAATGGTACTCATCGCCGGATACCACTGCAAGGATAGAACATGGCAGAGAAATCCTCGTCATTGGACACAAAATAGGGCGGTGACACGACAAGGCGCCAGACGCCGTCCCGAGCGACCGTCCCGTAGTGCGTGTATAGTATACGATGCACTAGGGGGTAGACGGTATCATACATCAGATCACCATCGACCGGTTTGAGAACGAAGGTAATGAAGTACGTAGTCGGCTCAGACATTAGCACACGAACGTGTTCGATGGCGTGATCACGAATATAAGTCTCTGTAGTGAGTCTAACGACTCGTTCCTCCTCGACGCTGATAACGAAATGACGATCCACCATCTTGTCTCTATTGCGGTACCCCACTGCATCACCGACAAGATCTGTTACAGGAGTCATTGATTCGTAATAGTATACGGTGTCGTCGCCTGTGAGTTTTGTGGTGTGGTAACATCGGAAACTCATTGCCGCGCAAGGCATCGTCGCTTCTTTCGTATGGCGTATGGAAACTGTTGCAATCCAAAGAAAGCGACACCATAAGTTATGAACCCAACGAGCGAACAAAGAATAACGCAAACATAATGTTCTACATGTACCGTACGGGGAGGGGGAATGCCCTTTATACATATATATGGAAGGAGCGGGTAGTCACGGTCCCGAACACTGTCAAATGTTGAAAATCTTTAGGATTTTGTTCCTCAACCCACCTGTTTTGGACTACGCATGAGACGAGCGGAATGATGGTTCGTTGACACTTTCGCACTGTTGTCCACAACCGTCCTTTGGCAACACACTGCGCACATCTCCGTGGAGAAAACTACGGCGTTGCAGCGGACGGTCGAGTTTGGAGAAATACCATGCGTTGCTTGCTAACCTTTCCACATGCTCGACCACAACGACTGACACTATGCGCCTTAACAAATGACCAATCATATCGAAGTCCGAGGGTTCGCAGGCATCGGGAACGACATCTGAAAGTTTTTTTGCGTGCATTACAACCTCATCAAGGCAATCATGACCGTCGTACCCCAGCCCCGCCACGACCCTCAAAGTGAGGGTGTCATCGATGAACGTGTAGTACACACGTGTTTTCGTGGCGACAACCCCTTCCCAGTATTCAAAGTTTCTTTCGTTTTCAGTATCGCGCTCACACACTGTCTCTCGCACGACGATTTTCTTTTCATCCACAGCCTCTTTCACAACAACGACTACGTCGACCATGTTGTGTCGCAGGGTCGAATAAGTGAACCTTACAATTATGAACAGTCCCAATGGCTGGGCGACGGCACTGCGAAAGATGACGGCAACACAATGCGTACGATAAACGACGGACACAATGAGTCGAGTCTCGCGGCTGCAAATAATAATAATAATAATAATAATAATAACGAACAGTGGTACGTTGGTTGGTTAGTTGGGTGGTTGGGTAGTTGGGCGGTTGGGTTAGGTGGTTGGTTGGGTGGTTGAGCGGATGGATGGGTGGTTGTGTGGTTGGTTGCTTGGTTGGTTGTGTGGTTAGGTGGGCGGTTTGGTGGGTGGGTGGGT